CCTAGGCCCATCCCCTCTTCCCCTCTCCCTCCCCTTCCCCCCACCCTGTCGGCCATCCGCTCCCCTCGCCCCCCGGGGGCTCGTCGGGCCGGGCCGGGCCGGGCTGTCCGGTCCGGTACTCGTGTTCTATCGCGAGCCGAACGGGAGAAGAATTGATTACGAAGGCGCTGTCGGGGGACGGGAAATTGGGAAAGGGGGGGGGGAGATAGCGGGGTTAGTTTGCAGGTATGTGGAAATAATAATCAACTAAAACATAACAGTTTTGTGTTTATTAGGGATTTTTGTGCATATTCACACGAAATGCAGAGAGAATAGATCACAGCCACAGGGTAAGGTAAATAACCCCCAAACCTCCGTACTTCTTTGTTCACCTATCGAAAATGGCCACGTACTACTTGTTCTGAACGCACTCCAACAGTCAAAACAAAATCGTCCAACTTTTTCAAATGTTATCTTTTTAATGATTGTCTTCTTTCGGAGAGACATTGCACGTGTTGTTTCCAGGCGTGTGGACGGGCTCACGCCCCGCCGCCGTGTGATTGAAGCCCTAGCGCTGCCTGGCCCTGTCCCTGGCGGTGGTTAGGGCTGCCGGGGCGTGTCCGGCGTTAATCATGACCCTGCAGGGCCCCCCCGGCACTCGCAAGGGGAGTTACACAAACAATCATCGCAATGTTATTGGTTTGTGTTTTATTCATTTCCATAGAAGAAAAAGGAGAAAAAACGGCGTTTTGTCGTCCCGCCCGCACCTGAGTTTGTGAGAGCGATTGCTCATGAACTCGTAACGAGTCTCATATAAGCATCTCGGACAGTCCCCGAGACTCTATCTACCAGAGGACAATAAATTCCGCCCCCCTGTGGCTAGCTATGGCGTGTTTTTGAGATTTTTTGTTTTTTAAAGCCATGAAGTCGCATGAAGTCTTAATAATTCTTTTCAATGGTGTTTGCAGGTCATAACTTATGTATAGAAAAACCTGTTTTCGGCTCGAGAGAATCGAGATGACTTTGTCTGTCTGGGATTTTCAGGAGATTTAGAGTCCCAGTCGAAGCCCTGAGAAGCAATAATTATTCCCGCAGGGGGGAGCTACTGGAAAACATGGGAAAATTGCTTGTTTCCAGTGGGCAATCCCCTGGGACTCTCCCACCAACTCCCTTGGAAAATAAAGAAAACTCCTCGTGGGAATCAGGTCTCGTTTTTACCGTACATTTTCCCGCTTGGGAAAGTAAATTTAGTGGGATTTTCTGTGTGTACACTGCAGGCTGCTTACGCCTGTGGTGGCGGTGATGAAATTCTCGCAACTTCTCCTTGAATTCTGCGCGTCTCGCGGCGCTTTGCGCGTTTTGCAAACAAAGCGGGGGCGGGGCGCTCCGCACTGATGTCCGGAGCTATGCCACCGCGTTATGCGCTCCCAGGCACTCCGCAACAACTCCGGAAAGTAATTTTGCGTGTCCCAAGTGGCGTGGCGAGGCGTGGCAGGACGCACGCCGTGCGGCACGTCGTCTCACAGCAACGGCACCTCCTCGGGACCGGGACGTGCTAGCCCACCGCTCTCCCAAGGTATCACTTGTAAACGTCAGAGTCGTGTTTCTCTCTCCTTCAAATTCGGTTATACTTTTGTTTTACCGAGGTTTTTACATCGCCATCCAAGCAAGGTGTCGCCCAGATAGAGCAAACATAATCACTGCATCGCATAATTAGAGTGACATGGCAGCATCCGTATCACAAAAACATCACTGAATTAGAGTCGTTTACGTCATGATTACTCTTAAAGAGTCATACGAACGCCAATTTAAATGATTCTGAAAGGAGCGATATCGTTCCAGATCGCTCTCCCAGGACTGATATAATTGGGTGCACGATATCGCTCTCTCATAGGGGCGAGATCCCGTACTCCTCCATTTTCAGTGCTCCCGTGCTTGTAAAGAAAATCTTGAAACGTGTTGTTCCATTGCGAATGGGTTTCTCTTTTTCATCTTCTTTGATGCGTTAGTCCTATGACCTTACTCAACCCGTCTCAACCGCCTCCGACCCTTCCTCTCCCTGGACGTCGTCGGTCGTTTAATGCCTTTCGCCTCGTTCCAAAAGGGGAAAAATAAAGGGGGACCGTGGGACAAACCAGAGGTGCTCTAGGCGGTGGCAGGTTGCGGGCCTGGGTGAGACCAAGTCTACAGGCGGCAGATATAAACGCGCTAACAGATGGTCTGAACAAGTCGAACTGCCCCCTTTTCCCCCTTCGTGTACACTGTTAAAGAATGCAACTCCGTTCAATAAAACTACCAGTACCAGTAAACTTTCTCGTTAGTAAAAATACAAATATTTCTTAAAGTGAACTGGCGTAGGGAACGAGGGGAGGGGGCCTCATAGAGTGTACACTAGATTGTGAAGATTGCCAGATTGCTGGCTGAATATTTTGCTTTTGGGGAACAAAACGCATGTAACCGAAAAAAAAAGAACGAAAAAAAAAACGCACTACTTTCACCCTAAATGTAGTCAAAAAACATGGCTTTGCGGTCCGATTGCCTATAGGGACTATAGACTGCTAAGGTTGGTGTGCCTGGTGTAACTGTGAGTATCGGGTGATTCAGAGCACGCGCCGCGGTGTTGCCGCGGGATTGCATACCCTAGGGGCTTTGGCGCCTTACGGGCGGACAAAGTGGGCAAACACGCCGACAGCGGCGAGTGCTCTGAATCACCCGGTTTACGCAGCAGTGTTGCGGGTTTGCCTACTCTTTACACCCGTAAGGGTACTCAGTTACAGCCGGTACACCAGATTGCTGGAGTTGTGGCCCCCTCCGTAGGGAGCGTTGATTACTAAAGCTCTCCCCCCCCCCTTTCCTCCTTTGCAGTTTCACACTTACTTTTGTGCCGCAGCAAGTACCCGCCCTTGATCTGCCGCGCCGCCATCTAGAAAAACATTTAAAAAACACATTAAAATCCCTTTTTTTGTCGTGTGCTGTATAAGTAGAAAACAGACTGTTAATTTGTATGCCATGGTCCTCTATACCGTGTGTCAGGGCTTGGGACCGAATGCAGTGTAACCGTCTCATTGAAACCCCCGGGATGAGGTACCCGCCGGTATACGTATACGGAAGGTACCTTCCCCAGATTGAATATACCCCCTACCTCTCGCGTGTACCGAGGTGACGCTAGTTCCGAGACAAGGTGGCGCGCGAGGCTACGTTGATACGGTTATTCGTGCAAAAGTGTCACGATTTCGTCGTCGCACACAAAGTGTGCTGGAGCAAGTTTATCTCCCTGGCGGCTGACATTGGCTTAGGCTCGCTCGGGCGACGCTTCTGATGGCGCCTGCGGCCCGCTAGGTAGGCCCACCCGCCCAGCAGCTGTGTGGAGCCGGCGGCCCGCCCAAGCGCCCCGGTGCCGGGACTCGACCGGGGCATGATGGCTCACCAAGGAAAGTTCGGCGTCCAGCGTCGTCTTATGAAGAAAAAAAACGTTCTCGCGCAAATTTTCCCCGTGTTTTCCAAAGATATTGAATGCACGGGACGATAAAACTGGCTCTTACACTGTCAATGCTCCTGAGAGCAAAGATTATTTTACTAGCTCCGGTTGAGTCATAACTTATGGTCCTCAAGGATTTTTGTAGTGATATTTTACAGAGAAGCGGAGGTTTGGAGCCATTTGTGTAGCATGATGGTATGGTGTGTGCGTG